AAGGGCAGGTGTCAAGAGGATGGGGCCAGGCTCTTCTCAGTGGTGCCCAGCAACAGGACAAGGGGCAACAGGCACAAACTGGGGCACAGGAAGCTCCACCTGAATGTGAGGAAAAGCTGCTTTACTGTGAGAGTGACAGAGCACTGGAACAGGCTGCCCAGGGAGGCTGCAGGGTCTCCTTCTCTGGAGATACTCAAAACCTGCCTGGATGTGTTCCTGTGTAACCTGCTGTGACCCTGCTTTGGCAGGGGGGGTGGGACTAGATGATCTCCAGAGGTCCCTTCCAACCCCTGCCATTCTGTGATTGTGATATAAAACCCAAAAAATGCAGACAGTACAGAAGTGAAAGAGTTTGAGAAACTACTTGCAAAAGGCATAAAAGCCCCATAATACTGTATTTTCAAACAAATTAGGGCCACCTAATCTGAAGGGGCAACAAATTATCCAAGTGTTTAAAAAAAAAAAGGCACTCAGAGAAGATAAGGTTCAAGATGCAAAACCCACTACCTTCTGTGTTCAGGAACAAGAAGTTTGGGAAGATTCCTATGTCAGAAATCTTCTTCACAGGGCACAGCTAAGGATTTTTTTCTGAAGTTCAAAGGCCTGACAAAAGTGGTTAGAGGACAACAGCAACAAGAAAAACCGAACCCAAAACCAAACAACCATTCCCCCACGCCCCCCCCCCAAACAGAAGCAATTCACCATGTTCAGATGCTATCCACCAGAGAGACTCAAGGATGAAACAACTGAAGTCTTAAATATGATGTGCACTGTCTTGATTTATAACACATTAGTACCAGAGGACCTGAAGATTACAAGAGGATACCACTTTGTAAAAAGACCCTAGAAGAAATACGTTGGTTCAGCGGTCCCATTAGCGAGTTATCTGTGCGGGGCAAATCACTGATCACACAGGAAAGCGTGATGCACAGGGAGAAGTCAAATAAACTTTTCTGAACCGAAGCCGCAGCTCTGTCATACTGCAGGTCCTTCTAGATTCCAGAAGCCATTCAGTAAGGTCCCTTAGTAAAGGCTCTTAAAAAAACCCTAATGTGTCTTGGGACAAATGAAGAGACCACACGTGAATAATTGGTGAAAATACAAGACACAAAGGCTGGTATGTCTCTGATAGGAGCTCTGTAGAACTGTGTTCAAGCTTAGGCTATTCAGCAGGTTTGTTAAGGGCAATTAAAAGGATGACAACATTTGTTGATGACACTAAGCAATTCGGAGTGGTGAAGAAAAGCACGGTCTGCAAACAAATGAAGGAGGAGTTCATAATGCTGAGCAGGCAGTGAAATGGCAAATAAAATTCACTGTAGATGTGCATATTTAATGCACATGGTGAAAATAGTTCTATTTTTAGACAGAGATGGACTCAGAGTTGGTTGTTATCATGCAGGAATGAGAATCTGGCATAACGATAGAAAGCGCTATGAAAACGCCAAATCACTGTTCTCCAACAGAGAAAAAGCAAAAACAACTGCTGGGAATTACTGGGAGTAGAGCACAAAGCTGAAAACATTACGCCAGCATTTTAACTCATAGCATAAGAGAACAGGAACAAAAAAGAGAAATAAAAATGACAACATTTATGAAAGGAAACTGAACACAAAGACAGTGCCTCCAGCTCAGGGAACCACATAGCTATGAATTACTGGAAACTAAGAGAGTCTTCTGTGAGAAAACTGTCTTGCCCTTACACCTTTCTGCTATTGCTCAGAGCTGGAGATGGGATATCAGCAAGGACCCCTGCCCTGACCTGGCCGTTTTTATCGCTTCTTATCTCTCGTCTTTATTCAGAGCTGGAGCCTTAAAAATTACATTGCAACTCTGAATCGGGACAACAGATAGCAAAGATAGCTTAGCTGATTCAAGCCCATGTCCACCAAAATCAGGAAGAGGAACCCACAGGAAATGGGTTTAACCCAGACAACATTAAGACCCAAAGCTGACCTCCTCTGAGGTCAGAGACATGTATCTGACTTCAGTGCAGCAGGATGATGCCTACAGTGAGTTACTCATGTATGACTAACAAATTGATAAACCTTTTCACAGAAATTGAGGTAATTGTAATTTACCATCAGACATAGGGAGAGCAGGAAAAAACCCCACCAGGACACATCCATTATCAGCTAAAGTGCTGATAGAACAATGGACTTCATGAGTCAAGTCACTTATCACTGGCTGGTTATAGGGGATGCACAGTAACGTGAAACTTTTTATTATGTGAATGAGCTACTAAGAATGACAGGCCAGTAATTTCAGTACTTCAAAGGGGTTTTTTCATTAACTTATTATGAAGAAGTATGATGAACTTGGACAAAACAAAAAAGCAAAAGAAATCCAAACAGAAGAGTGCCTTTATCCCGGCATGCGTCACAGAATGGCAATTTATTTTCTAACGACACAGTTATCACCTACACATATCCACACATTTGAAATCTGTGGCACTTTGACATTAAAATGAGACAATACAATTTCTGATGCAAAAAAAATCAGAGGTCAAGCAGTCTCCTTGCCGCTGTATGTAGTGAAAACAGTAGCAAGCTCATCTTCACTGCACAGTTTAGCTCACATGGATGTCAGTCTAATCTTACACATAAAACTACCATAAGGTTTCAAATCCTGAGAACATCAGGTTCAACTAATAGGAGCATTTTTGTCCACATCCAGTGGGACAACGTATCACCCTAAAATACAATACATCAAAAAAATACAGGAGAGACAGATGTTTGTTTCTTCTCAAAAGATGACTGAAAGAGGTTCTGCAAGTTTATAGTAATCTGAAATCTAAGGAAGAAAACATCAGCTCCTTTTGGGGAAAAGGAGTCTGTCCCAGTAAATGTTCAACATACCAGGCACATCTTCGGAGCCACTTAAGTGAAAATAATTTAGGAGGAAATTGGTATTAAGAAATAGTCACTAACAGAAGAATGTATGGACATAGGTATCTTAGAAAACCTTCTTTAAGCTTAAACTGTATCTGAACCAGTAAGACAAAATTATCTAGTGGAAATAAGGAAAATTAATTGCAAAAAGTAGTTCAGTATGATCAAGATACATTCAATTTTTCTTATCACATTTGCTTCAGCAGAGGTCCATTGTGGTGCTCTTACCAGCAATCCCCTCAGGAGCCCAAAGGGCAACAGCTTGTCCATCTGCAAAGCAGAATTTAGTCTGTCCCAAAGAACACTGTAAATGAGTGAAAGTCTCTGTGCAGCTGACAGAACCTTGTGACTGCAAATATCAGAGAGCACAGCAAACTTTTTCCATATGCTTTCAAACAAATTTCACAATTGTTTCTTTGGTCATAGCCAAAACCCAAATAGGCTCCACCATAAGGATTAAAATTATGAAAAATGAAAAGTTAATGCAACATGTTTAAGAATACCAACCCCAAATGTGGATTTTATAGAGGATGAGACAGTTCTACAGAGGAGATCTCAGTGATTTCCTTCCCTCTCCTGTATTAAACAGTCACACAGTACCAGTAGACTTGGAAAAGCATTCATCCTCTTTAGGTCTGAACTCGCACACACAAAAGTCACTGCTGCGTAAAACAAGATTGGCACTTCTGTTAAATGAACATTAGAGCTCACTCTCGCAAACAGTTTACGTATGGAAATGTGAAAATCTACCTAACTGGAGAGCAGGTCCCCATACCTTAAAACAGCCTTTTCTGTACCCAGTCAAGTGCTTTCTGGCTCTCATATTGTGCACACATGTTGGACACCTACAGCCATGCAGATATACAGTAAAATCTATAATTTCTGCTTTACATAAAAGACAGTATGTTGATACCGGCAACAGAAAAATCAAAGTGAAGAGTTAGTTTTAAATGCCTTCTTTGCTTTCAACTATTTTTAAGGTAAGATTTTAAACTCCTGTTCTCTGTTAAAACCAAGTGTTTTATTCAGTTGAAACACTGAGAAAAATCATTCCATTCTTTTTGGGTCAGTTATTTATTAAACTAGTTTTACCATATTTTTTTCTTGGATGCTGATTTGTTATTAAATATTATCTGAAGCAACATGCACATATGGGATTCCTTTCTGAAAACTGGTTGATGTGTTGAGTATGAGAAACACATTTTGACTGTACCAAACATAAGCAGTAAACATTTAGAATGCAATACCATTCATGTATGATATGTAATAATCTTATTTTTGTCGTGAGTGACAAACGCTAGTCTACCAACTGTACAGTTACCTCTTCACCGTTTTTTCAATCAAGTCTGAAATTCCTAAATACAGCAACAATTTTTTTTTCTTTTAACAACCACATTCTTTTATTATTTTCCAAAATTCAGTTTACAAGATTTCCAGTCTGCTTTTTACCTCCCTCAGTGGTTTCAGCAAAGATTAAGGACAACCAATTCTTTCCAAGCTCTCTCCTGGAGCTTGTGTCTGTTACCTCATTTCCTGGCTCCTATGAAGCAATGTGAGACAAGACTTTGGTGAAAACTATCACCGTAACATTTACATTTCCAAATACTGAGTTCAGTTCCTCAAAAATAACAAGGAACTCCATGGCATATGAGACTGAACTTCCTCATCCATCACATGCTCTTTTCTTCAGGTGTTCATACAACTGACAAGGGTTTTAAAAAATGTTACTGGAGAGTTTTCCGACTCTCCCAAGCAACCATCCCTTCTTTTCTCTCTTTCACACTTCCCAATAACATTTTTCACTAGACACTCCAACTTTCAGACACTGTCAACGTCATCTTACCTTTGAATAGGTCATCTCTGCTAGCTCTGTTAAGCACCTCTTTCACACTCATTCAAACCACAGCACAACATACTGCACCACATCTTAAAAAAAAAAAATTGAATTGTTTTCCTTAGCTTCATCATTCAGGCAGACTTGTAGATCAATGAAATGAAGAACCAGATCTTTGTTAAAGATCAGATTATACTTAAGCTCAAGGACTACACATCATCTGATATTCAAAAACCACACAAAACAATTTTACTGCTGTAACATAAAAAACTTACCCACTTGGCAATCGGACACCCCTGAGAGCTTTTTCCTTCCTTCCCTGTATAAACCACTACCTCTATTCTTACAGCGCTTCCTTTTGCTCCATACCTGCATTAAAAAAAGTTCATGAGTAAAACAAACTGCTGCGGACCATTTTAAAACAGGAAACATTTTCAATAAAACAAGAATAACAAATTTATTTTTACGTTACTGAGAACAGAAGAAAAATAAAATATTTGCAATGTCAAGAAATACTTAAAAATCCTATTTGCAAGAGTGATTTTTAACATCTCTATTCTGATAACAACCTTCTATCACTAAGGAAACAGGAAGAAAACGTCTGCATGTAAATCCTAGTGCACTTAGTCACTAATGCGGCCTTTATGTCCAGTTTGCCACAGCTCCTTCACATGTAGAACACTAGAAGACCTAATTCTGCCAGCTGTTGATCTTTGTCATTCCTATTGATTTCAATGGCACCTAAGAGCACACTGCACTTGAAATTCAACTGTGAAGCTGCAAGAGCTCAGAAAAGACACGTGTGTTTGGAACTGAAACGCTAGTGTTCACCTCACGCGCATCTAAACAGAACACTTTACAAATGAGTATTGCAAAAAGTTCAGAAAACAAAGCTAAATATAGCACCTGATTTTTCATAGCTGCTCTTCTTCCCTGTTTAGATAGTCAAAGAGACTGTGAGCATTAAGTGCTGAATTTTCCTCACCTGTTCTCCATTATTTCTCTCACAGCAGCAACACTTGGTCCTGTCCCGAGGTGTGTGTAATATGGGCCTTCATCTTTCTCTATAATTTGCTCTGTAAGCAGGTTGAGAAAACTAAGTTGGCACATACAAAATTTATTTACACCATTACAAGTAAGCTTAGAAATGGTTTACAGAAACACCTTCCAAATTAAATTACAATACATAAAATTTGTCCCTGAAATGTAATGAATAAAGCATATGACAGATTTTTCTCCTCAGAGGCATCAAAATTATTTTATACATGTTTCTTCCTATTAACCTGCTAGTATTTTTTCTTTATGTTATAAAGTAATCCTAATTATAGTGATATTTTGCATTCCTTACAAATTTTCATTACAGGAGCTGGCATGTATTGACGAGGCAAGCTTCCCAATATCCTTGCTGGCAGTGAAACACTAATCCCTTTTAGACAAAGAAGAATTGGGGGGCGGGGAATAAATTAACTGATAGTCATATACTACAGAACAGAAAACATAATCCAGGTGTCTTAACTAGCACTCTGCTCGTTCAGAACATTAAAGCAAAGATGAGAATCTGCCTGTGTACAATTTGTTGTTAAGTCTCTGACTTGTTTTTCCATCTGCATGCTTTGATAGTCTGAAAACACAGTATGTCTAACACCATCAGTCAAGCTGTATTTGCAAAATCCTCAATACTGGGCTGTCTGACATCTCATCCTGCAACACAATTGTTACATATGTGGCCTCACCTGAACCTTACCTGCCCCCTCTGTGATGAGAGGTGTCTAGGAGCATCTGACACAGCCTCTTCAAGGCAAATCGACATCGGCCCTCAGGACTAACAGTGACAGTAACAAGACCACCCACAACTATACCCTGCTGCTTATCTAACAGCATTTAGGCAACAATGACAATATAATGGGAAATTTTCGCCCAGCCCATCGCATGCAAAAACTAGTTCTAGACCATAAAAATCAGATTCTGATATACTGTAGATAAATTCTCATAGACCACAAGTCAGAGATTACAAAACAAGAAATAGAAAAACTCCTTTTCCTCCTGGGTTTAAATTTAAGTAGACAATTTAAACCTACCAGCTGCAATGCCAAAAACACTCAATTCTGCTGTGCTTTGCAGGCCCAAAGAACACCAGGCAAAAGTTACAGAAAGGGAAAAAATAATTTTCTCTCATTTCCTAATGGTGAAACGTTGATTCCTTTGCAACAGCTAAGCAAGCGTGAAGTACCCTTCCTCACATTAAAGGAAGCAACACAAACACACCTCCGTCTGAAAGGTACAGGCAAAAGTTAGCAAAAAGTCTTACCAACACAGTCACAAGTTGGCAATTCAGACTGTCCTTTTTTTGTAGGTGTATCTATTAAATTTTTTGTAGGGGTATCAAGAAACTTCATAGGTGATTCAAGGAAACTGCTGAGCGTGTTTTTTGCTGGAGAACATCCTGAGTCACCTGTGCTCTGGGGGTGGTCAGTACCCAAACTGGTTGATGTCAGAACGGTTACTTCGCCCGCGCACTCCATGTTCCTGAGAGCTTCAACAGCACCTGGTACCTGGGCCCCACCACAGGGAACAGGCAGCACCTGCGACTTCGGCACTACTTGTTGTTCGACAGCACCCTGCTGAATATAGGCTTTGTCTTCACTACGTATTTCGCTAGCTCTCAGGTTAGACTGATTAAAAGTTTGAGGCAAACGATGCATCTGACTGACATTCGCTGTTTGCTGTACCTGAGAATTACATTTTTCTGTAAACATCTGTAGGTTTTCACTTGGTCTGTTCAATAAGGATGCTGTTTTCAACTGTGAAACAGCCAGAGGATTACGAGAGGACAGGTTGCTATGTTGGTTACGTGCAACAACTTCATTTTTCAGTAGATCAATGCCTAGTGGGTCACCGGAGCCTGCAGTTTTGATTTGCTCATTCACCACCTCACAACCAAACAACCTGTCTTTTTTTTTCTCTTGCGGTACCTCAGGTAAACATCTATGGAATTTTATCTGCGTTTGTGGGAGAAATAATCTAGTTTTTTCTTGTGATGCTAAAGTATTTTGATTCAGTGCTCTCTGTACTTTGGTTCTTGGAGATTTTTTTTCAGACTGAGCTATTCTGGAGTCCTGTGGCATGGTTTGACCAAGCTTGTGCAGTTTTGATGATATCCAAATGTCCTGTAACTCGCTATGCTGGCATGACAACACCTCTAGCTGGTTTTGATTATTTTGTTGATAGCGTGCTTCTTGAGGCTTCTTTTTGTGTCTTGGTTTCCATGGTACAGCATTTCCTTTTTTATTTGTTGGTTGTTTTTGCTTTAACAGTAAGGAACTGTAATTATGCCTAAAAAATACAGATTCTTTCTTCTGCAGCACATCTTGGCTGTATTTTGGCTGCCTCTCGTGTGATATCAGATTAAGCAGTGATGCCTTTATGTCATTCTTCTGCTCTGGATTTGTCTGGTTTGATTCAATTAGTGCTGCAAGTTGAGTTAGTTGTGTAGCTACATCCTCTTCATCCTGGCTGTGAATTCCTCCTTCTTTAATCAAAGAACTAGTTTCCAAGTTCAAATCATTACAGGTTGGCTTTTGCTCTACCTGGCCGAGAGTTTCTAAATTGTTACTGCTTTGCTGGACATTATGTGAAGCATTGCAATACCGTGCAAGGGTGACTGGATCACGAGTATAATTCTTCTTGGTAGTATATCCTGAAAATGATTTTGCATTAGATGTTAAGTCAGATAAAGTTTTGGTATCTCTTGAGGATAACTGTAATTTATACATCTCACCAGCAAGATTGGCAGGTTTATCACGCGACTCAGAAACTGAACTTTGGCCATTGTATAACACTGCCTTATTAGGGAGCCACTTCTGCGAGTGAGCGCAGTGAGCCAGAAGCGTTTGCTCATTCTGTAAGTAAGTGTCTTTGATTTCTTTTAATGCAGATGATGTGAAGGAGGATGAGATCTCTCTTTTGTAACTATGGAGCAAGCTGGAAGTTGCTTCTTCCATACATTCGGTACTTTCAGTTTTAGCTGGTGAAGTTGTTTCTAGAGGGGCTTCGGATAACTGTGTTAAAGCTTCGATAGCTACAACCTGCTCTACAGTCAAATTTCTGTTTTTAATCAGGGACAAGAAAGTCGGCTGGAGAGAAGAATCCTCATGCTGTGTCTCTGTGTCAGGTACTTTAAAGCCATCCTTCCCTACAGGCACTTCCTCTTCAGGAGGACAACACAAGCTTTCTTGCAGATTCAAAATAGAACTTGTCTGCAAAACTGACTCATCAGAATCCTCGAAGATGTTACAAGTGCAGTTTTCCTCTTTCATTAAAACATTTCCTTGCTTTTCAGGGTGAACACAGCCAACACCAGTTGACAGAGTGTTTACTACGTTACTCAGATTGGTACTCTTCGTCCATTGCATATGGGAGTGGCTTCTTAAATCTGTCCTTTCCTCTATGGATACTTTTTTCAGTGAAGCAACTGCTTCCGGTGGTGAATAATGTAGGGTTTTTATGCCATTTTTGACGGTCTGTGCAAATGATTTTTTTGGCTCAGCTAACTGACTGGGAGAGACCGCTCTTTCACCGTCTTCAGTGTTTTTCAAGTGTTCTTTGCCTGTCACAGTTCCATGGATATCTCCGTTGATATGGACACCAAAAGATGACTTCTCGTTATGTGACCACTTCTCTGCTTCTAAGCCTGTCATTCTTTCTTTCTCTTTAGACTGCACATTTTCAATGGGTACTGTTTGGTTTGGTTTCACCCTGTATTTTTCACCATGACCACATATACTGCATTCCATGAGTTCTGGTCTGCGGCCATTTACTGGTTTGTTTTCTAAATTTGCCTACAAAATAATAATAAAAAAAAATTGTTGTTAACAGCTGTTCAAAACCATTAAAAATAAGAAGCACAAGATTTACAGCAATTAAACCCTACTTTGACAGGTATGAGGAATATCCTAATTAAGCACAGGCACAGACACGGGGGAAAAAAAAAAAAAAAACAACCAGGAAATCATAAAAGCCTAAGGACCGTACCCATATTTATAGCTATTTTTCCACAGTGTTGGGGGACAGAGGAAGAAAGTGTGCGCATGTGGCAGTGGTGGAAGACTAAAGAAATGAATGAACAGATAAAGGACATTAGCATTTAGGATTAGATCTAAGGATTCAATTTTTAACGAATTTGCATAAGGAGATGAAAGTCTCCCTCAAGTTCAAAGCAGGACTGAAATCTAAACGCTTGTACCACAGAAAGTTTAGTAGTAATTTGGTATAATTATTCCGATTCGGCTAGACCAATGAACTCATACAACATTTGGTTGGACATTCTACCAAGAATGGCTGGATTTCAGCCTTAGTTTCAAGTGCTTAAAAAAATGACAAAACCTAAGCTGAAACAGCTAGTAAGTCAATTAACATCAGCTCACCTGAAAGTTACCCTCTAAACACCACGTTTAGCTTCTGCACTTAGACGGTGATTTCCAGTGATGGCAACCATTTAGATGGTGACTTCTGAACAGTCTCTATGTAAGCTATCCGTAACAGTACTTCAGTAAACCCTAAATTCTAATATTTTGTTAAATATATTCTTCATCTTCACTAATATTATACAATTCTTGTGGTTGAAGCAATGTCAAAATCTATATAGAGCCAGAATAATGTGTCCTGGAAAGAATATACGTATGGGCCTTAAGACAGTACTATGGATACGAATTAAGGAGGTATGCAATTTAAGGTTTGGTTTTTTTTAAAAAAAAGCAGGAACTCGATCAGAAACAGCAATAAAGGCAGGAATCCAATTTTTATTATGTTAATCAAATTTTATTTCTATTTATATTAATTTTTTAAAAAAATAATTTTGAGTCACAATAGACAGGCCTGGTACTTAATCTTATTGTAACATCTAAGAGTTATTTAAATAATGTGTAGCCTTAAGCCCTACTTAACAAGAAAACCAGTACTGCTTTTCAAATCAGATATAAGCTATACAACTGGTTAATTAACCATACGTTGGCACAGCACATCTTAGCAGTTCCCAGAAAATAGCACCCAGTTTAATATAAAACATTCAGTTAAATAAGACATGGTTTTGTGGTCATACCAACTGAAGTGCACGGACTTCTCTGAGAAAACAACTCAGAAGAACAAATGCAAAATAGATTTATGATTAATCATTACCATCGAGATGGAATTGCCAGAAACCCCTAGGCAAAACAAGGCATAAAGACCCAGCTCTATCTGGAGTCCGTGTTCACCTCACAACTGATTCCCAATCCATAAAAACCAAACCCGGGAATCCACAGCATGTCCTAGGTATTATGAGAGGCATCATAAATTCTCACAGAAACGCTAAGTAAAAACATGTTCAGCACCTATGCAGCTAAGTCAAACCTACGGCAACTACATCAAGGAAGAAAGATACTTATTTAACGCTTTTTCATTACACACAGATGCTGACTAATGGTCTGTGAGCCTGAACTTCTCTGGACCCTGATGATTTCCAATCAAGAATCCACAGACCCAAGGGTCACCGAGCAATTTCTGAGACCCACAAAAGTGGTTGAGCAGCTCTGTCATTAGCAGGGGTAAATGCATTACACAGGCCTCTGCAACCATACCAGAAAATATTTTAAGCGTCCACCATGGAAAAGTGAAAACATACAATTCTATACCTGTGCAAAAGCTGAATTTCAATTACTCCTATTTAACTTCAGAAAGACCTAGAACATGAAATTTCTGGTTTTTTTCTTCAGCAAAAGCATATCTAAGATCTCTAACAGTCCAAAAAGTTGTCGCAACCATGTAAAACTGTTATTAAAAACTATTTGATTAGTCAATTAAGAGGCTGAGAAGACAGAAGCAAATACATTAAAACAATTTCCCAGCATTTGTGGGTTTTCAACATGACAACACATTTTCTTATTCCCTTCTACTTCAGAGGGTGTCACTCACTACATTAAAAAAAAAAAAAAAAAAAAATCTAAGTCTGGTAAATTGAGAGCAATGAGCGGTGTGGGGAAGGAGCAGGGTTCATCTACGATTAGCAGAGAGAAGATCTGACACAGAGCCCACTGACATCACTCAAAGTGCAAAAATGTCATCATACTCCTCTCAACTATGCTGTTCCTCAATAAAACACTTCCATCTGACCAAAAAGCACTGCTACGCTCAAAAATACTCAGGATATTCCTCAGTCTGCTAGTAGTGCACAGGTGCAGTGCTGTGTCTCCATAAGACCCCAGTGATCCCAGCAGTAAAGTGGGATTACTTTTTAAAAATAAAATTATTCCTCATACATCATAATTTCCACTAATATTACTGGAAGCTGCCCATATGCAAAGAGGAAGAAAAAAGAACCAGATGAATCATATCACTGGCATGATTTGGTTCACATTTTATTTTTCCACACAAAGAATAAATATTATCATAAAACCGGATGTATTTTTTTAAAATCAAACTCCCTTCCTTTTGAGCACTATGTTGCTTTTTATCTTCTGTTACTGAACTGCAATGAATCCTAAAAAAAAAAAAAAAAATAAATCCCTTTTTCTTTCCTTTCTTACCAGGCTTTCCAGTGGCCTTTTCTGTTTAGTATGTGAAGTTACTGTTTTCCAACGTGAAAAGAAATGCAGACATCTTAGCAGGCGCAGAGCTCATTTGATTCGTCTCCTCAGTGTACCTCTGGCGGACCAAAAGTAATAGCTCAGCAAAACCTTTTTGCAGCTGAACAACCTAGGAGGAATCTATCTTCTAGTCCTGAATCAGGACTGAAAAAAGAAAAATGTAGTGAAAACTGTAGACAAGGACACCACAATTCCAAGCAACAGTCTTAAAATTCATGGAAGTTAAGCACCTAAGTCTGATCTGATTGATTTCTAAATCTTTTACACAAGTGTAATGAAAAGCTGAAAAATAAACCAGATCAATAAAAGTAATTTCCTCTCTTCCTCATTAAAGAGAGCACTACTCTACCTGGAGACATAAAACACTAACAAATCATGCTCAGGCTTAAACTCTGCACTAGTCAGTGCTATTAGGACAGGAACCATAGAGTACAGTCTGCTGTAGCCACTGCTGCATTGCTTAAACTTCAACCAGATATTACCTCTTACACACACACACACAGAAAATTCACTCCATGAGCAAGTGATTCCAGCACAAACGAAAAGCCAGTTATAGCAAATCATTTCACCATTCTGAAAAGGGTCAGACTTTAAACTTTTAACACAAGATGCCTCTTGACGTATTGCAGAGAATTCACCAATTCACAACCAAAATACAATGCTGAAGCTATCCTAAAGCCATTTCCACATCTTCGGTACAACAGAGAGCAGGCCACAGGTTTATGTCTTGTTTCAAACCTCTAAGCCTGTAATAACACGTATGTGTACTAAAGGATGCTACCAGAAACAACGACTCCCATAAACCAGAAATAACAGATGATGCCCAGATGAACTACTGATAAAATGGCTCCATGAGCAAGTCGTGACAAGTTACACAATAACCAATGCCAAGTCCCCCTAACTAGCCCTCCCTGTAGGCTTCTGCCCAGGTCCCCATGACCAAAAAAAAAAAAAAAAAAAAAGTACCCAACAGATCAAAAAATACTTGCACCTCCTAGCTTGTGCCAAGGATGACCGGAAAGGCAGCTCTTCCAAGGTCACAACATTCATCAGCTTAAAAGGACAAGTGGGTGAGAAGCACTTGCACTTTGCATCTCAATTCCATTGCAGTGCAATGGGTAAGTTTGGATCCTGCTGCAGTGTCTGCAGCCATGCAGCCAGCCCCACATGCCCTTCCACATTGGCACAGAGCTGGCAGCTTCTCAGAGCTCAAATACCACAACAGAAGTTTTCTTTCAGAGAAACTGTTTGGAAAAAAAAAAAAAAAAAAAGAAAAATACTCCATCTAACATTCAAACAGGGTGTTTTATTCATGGTCCAACTGTCAGACATCACAGCTTCACCAAGAGATAAGAAAGCACCAGCCAGCTGACCAGCAGCAATCTATTCCTATGCAATTTATTCCTACTCTCTAGCCTCTGCTCCCCAGAACATGTAGAAATTCAGTGGACTTGCACTGTACAGGATCAACACACAGGGATAAGGAGATAGGATATGGACAGGTCAGGGGACAGGGAGAAAAAGAGCACAGGTGTGGAGGAACAGTTGTTTATGCTGAGTGCTATGCAAAAAGCTGTGCGCTGGTTAGAACAGAGACAGATATAAGGCAGGATGCTGTGGAAAGCACAGGCCATCTTCTAAGAACAGCCAAGCTCTTTTGCACTCCAAAATAAATGCAGACACAATAATACATTTGCGCATAAACTTCTATTTACGAACACACTACTTCATGTTTGACTACCACAACACGGACAATAGCAACATGCTGTAAGTTGCTGCCCAGGACTGCAGCCTGAGCCGGGTTTCCGAGCAGCCTACAAGCAGAGAGACAAGAGCAGCTGAGCAGGGGCCAAGCTGCAAGCTGGGACATACTCCCACAAACCTCACCAGAGGCATAAACCAATTACCACCTCACTTGCATAACAACCATGGACATGGAACAGTCTCTTAGTACATATTACTTCTGCAGCAGCTCAAGTAAGGCACGTTTTCTATAGGTCTTCATGAAGAGAAACAGATTGGGCTCTTTCTTTATATAGCACAGCTTGCATATACAAGATATCTTGTTCCTCAGGAGAACAACGTTCATAGATAGCACTGAGGGACAGGACAGGTAATAACTCTGCATTTTAGAAGCTACCACAATCAAAGCAAGTAACTTCTATTCCTGGCAAAATGATGTAGACAAGTTTTAGCAGGGAACAAGGAGGTTC